ACATACAATGGATCCCACCCTCTCATGCAATGGGCCTAACCCTACATGCATACCCATGGGCCCATCCCAACATATTATGCAAGAGTTACAAAGACAGCTAGCATTCTACATAACACATTCTAGTGGATCAGCATTAGTGCCTTCGACCCACAAGTATAGTGAAGAGACTCGCCTCAATCTGATGTCAACAAAACAACTCAAGTTGCTGCTACCCCCGCTTCTCACATTGAACATATACAAGATCAATCCTAATCAATAATTAGGGTAATAACCTATTACTAAGGGCCCAATTCTTATTTTATCATACTAAGGTTAAAAGACCATTTTACCCTTCCCATACTTGTTCCAACAATTCATGGCCCAAAACTTAAATGACCCAAGGCCAAGAATGGCCCATAACGACATTCTGGTGAGTACGCCCAGCGTACTAGGTGTTGAAGCCTAAATCCTCATTCTAAGCTCTTAATGCCTTAAGACAAAATGTCTAACTTCCAGATCTTATTCTAAGGGATGCCTTAATTCATAAAGTTCCTGACTTTATGACTTTGCATGGCTTAATGGCGTCCAAACCAAAGCCCTAGATTCATAATTTCACCAAAAGACCACTAACTCATGCATGGAAGGGATACACCCATCAAGATTCGATTTTTATGACTTCATAAATGGCTATAAATGAAGCTCAAAGGTTCTGGAGTAACTTCTACTCACAATATCCAAGCCATGGTACCAAAACAAACTCATAACATAACCCAAAACTAGATCTACATAAAAGAACCATCAAGATTGAAATTGTATACCCCAGAACAAAGACCAAGGTGAACAGGTCTGGATCTACAAGCTCCAAGAAAACCAACACTTCTCCAATGAGCTCCTTCTTCTTCAATATGCACCAAGAATACTCCAAATCACTCAAAGGCTCATCACAAATAGGGCTAGGGTTTCGACGGAACTACTTTATAGGGTGTGGGCGGAAGGTAAGAAGGGTTTCCAATAAGTTAAGGTCTTTAAATATGGTCCAAGGCCTAAAAAATTAGGTTTTGACTCTGATTTGTGTACGTCAGTGTACTCCACGTACGCCAATCGTACTAGGGTGAATCATCACGATCACTTAATCCCAGTACGCCCAATATACGTGCGATGTACACGCCCAACGTACATAGCAAAACACACCCATTCAACTTTCGAAGGCCATAACTTATTCATCCCAATTTCGTTTTACGCATTCTTTATATGCTCGGAAAGGTAATGAGAAGTCCCACAACCCCATCTAATCTCCTTTGACTTAAAACCTTCTTAACTAAAATCCTTAATTCAAGAAGAGGTCCAGAGCATCACTTTTAAATTTATACCTTGAACTCCCAAAACACAAATTGAAAGTTTGATCACCCAACTTTATATATATATATATATATATATATATATATATATATATATATATATATATAGGGGATAGGGAATATACATTACAGCCCCACCTAAGTTTAGGTACTAAACCTCTAAAATATGTCGTTTTATCATACTAAATATACTCGGTTTGGTTTCACTTGGTAAATATATCATCCTCAATAACATTTCTTGCTTTCATTATCGTTTTACCATCTCTGTTTTCTTTCTTCAATTATCGTTTATTAATTCACCCAAGTGAACATTACTAAACGCTAAACATAAACCCTAAACCCTAAATTTAAACCCTAAACCTAAATCCTAAACCTAAAACCTAAACCCTAAACCCTAACCCTAAACCCTAAACCCTAAACCCTAAACCCTAAACCCTAAACCTAAACCCTAAACCCTAAACCTTACTGTGTCGATCTTGAATTTACATCTTGAAATATTAATCGTGAATCCATTAACCGTAATGTTTATATAGTAAAACAATTTATTTTCAAGAGGTTTAGTACCTAAGCTTAGGTGGAGCTGTAATGTATATTCCATTTTCCCATATATATATATATATATATATATATATATATATATATATATATATATATATATATATATATATATACTAGCCGTCTACCCGCGCAAAGTGGCGGGGCACGTGAGTTCTTTCGGTGATATGTTTCCATTACAAAATTGTTATGTTAAAAAAAAGTACATGTTGAAGACAATATAATCAAACTATGGTGTTATTTGTTACATCATGCATCAAATAACCAATAAAAAGCAACCAGTCAAGACGACACAAAATATTAATCGTGCAATACTTCTTTATACACCACATTTGCTGTATAAACCCCATCACCTTTTGAATTTTCGTTAGGCTTTACTAATACTTTTGTATTGCAACGTGAAACCCCTCTGGACAATGCAACATAAAGTTGTCCATGCGAGAATACTGGTTCTGGAAGATAGATACCTACATATGGAATTGTTTGTCCCTGAGCTTTTTGATTGTCATTGCAAAGCACAATCGAATAGGAAACTGTTTCCTCATTAGAGGATCGATGGTTGCTACTAATTGCTTGTAACTGGTATTGGTTTCATATCGATGGATGTGGATTCGCATATGAAATCAATTGTGTTCGCATCTATGAAATCAGTTCGCATATGACATCAATTGAGTTCGCATTTGGTTTTGTGGGTCAAAACAGTTCGCATAAGAAGTTCACGATTTGTTTGAGGTTAATTGATTTTGATTTCGCAAGCTTGGAGTCGGAGATCTGGATTGTGTTCGCATCTATAGAATGCGAGGAGAATTTAATGGTGATATTCAGTTCGCATTTGGTGACACAAGTACGTGGTTGATGATTTTTGGTTGGTTCGCATTTGAAATCAGTGGGTTTCGCATTTGGGTTCGTATCTGGGTTTCTCAAACAACTGAAATGCGAATATGAGACAACTGATTAATTTCTCAGTTAATGCGATGAAATGCGAATGAACTCAAAGACGGATGGATGCAAGATGCGAAGAATTTGAATGAAAATGCGAAGTTTTTAATGTATAAATGCGAATTGGGGAAGAAAGCTTAGAGTTTCGCATTTGGCACCTGATCTTTTCAAGAAATAATATAAGTGGTCCAACTTCGCAAAATGGGGTCATTTAATCAGAAAATCGATCATTCTTCAAATATGACATTTAATCAGAAAATCGATCTAAAAATGAGACATTTGGTGTTTATCGATTTTTCAGGGTCGACGGGTTGTATGAAAAGCGAAGGCTGAGTAATTGAAAATTAGAGGATCGATGGTTGCTACTAATTGCTTGTAACTGGTATTGGTTTCATATCGATGGATGTGGATTCGCATATGAAATCAATTGTGTTCGCATCTATGAAATCAGTTCGCATATGACATCAATTGAGTTCGCATTTGGTTTTGTGGGTCAAAACAGTTCGCATAAGAAGTTCACGATTTGTTTGAGGTTAATTGATTTTGATTTCGCAAGCTTGGAGTCGGAGATCTGGATTGTGTTCGCATCTATAGAATGCGAGGAGAATTTAATGGTGATATTCAGTTCGCATTTGGTGACACAAGTACGTGGTTGATGATTTTTGGTTGGTTCGCATTTGAAATCAGTGGGTTTCGCATTTGGGTTCGTATCTGGGTTTCTCAAACAACTGAAATGCGAATATGAGACAACTGATTAATTTCTCAGTTAATGCGATGAAATGCGAATGAACTCAAAGACGGATGGATGCAAGATGCGAAGAATTTGAATGAAAATGCGAAGTTTTTAATGTATAAATGCGAATTGGGGAAGAAAGCTTAGAGTTTCGCATTTGGCACCTGATCTTTTCAAGAAATAATATAAGTGGTCCAACTTCGCAAAATGGGGTCATTTAATCAGAAAATCGATCATTCTTCAAATATGACATTTAATCAGAAAATCGATCTAAAAATGAGACATTTGGTGTTTATCGATTTTTCAGGGTCGACGGGTTGTATGAAAAGCGAAGGCTGAGTAATTGAAAATTAGAGGATCGATGGTTGCTACTAATTGCTTGTAACTGGTATTGGTTTCATATCGATGGATGTGGATTCGCATATGAAATCAATTGTGTTCGCATCTATGAAATCAGTTCGCATATGACATCAATTGAGTTCGCATTTGGTTTTGTGGGTCAAAACAGTTCGCATAAGAAGTTCACGATTTGTTTGAGGTTAATTGATTTTGATTTCGCAAGCTTGGAGTCGGAGATCTGGATTGTGTTCGCATCTATAGAATGCGAGGAGAATTTAATGGTGATATTCAGTTCGCATTTGGTGACACAAGTACGTGGTTGATGATTTTTGGTTGGTTCGCATTTGAAATCAGTGGGTTTCGCATTTGGGTTCGTATCTGGGTTTCTCAAACAACTGAAATGCGAATATGAGACAACTGATTAATTTCTCAGTTAATGCGATGAAATGCGAATGAACTCAAAGACGGATGGATGCAAGATGCGAAGAATTTGAATGAAAATGCGAAGTTTTTAATGTATAAATGCGAATTGGGGAAGAAAGCTTAGAGTTTCGCATTTGGCACCTGATCTTTTCAAGAAATAATATAAGTGGTCCAACTTCGCAAAATGGGGTCATAAAAAGACAAGTGCAGAATTTTCATTTCGCATCCCTGTAGTCTTCGCAAAATGGAAAATTTTACCCAGTTTCGCATTTAGGGTAAATTTTTTTGAGAAATTGGAATATTTTCAAACTTTTTTTCTTAAAAAAAACACATTGTCTTCGTCTAAGAGAGGGAGAAAAACGATTAGGGTTTATAAGGGAAATACTTCATGGCAGTGGGATTTATAGCAGGGTTTATAAGGTGGAGAGAACAAACACACGTCTGCTATGAGATATTTTAATCAGCTGCAAATGCAACATTTAAAGGATATTTGTTGAAGCGTATTAGGATGAAAAGGTTTTAAATTTTGAATGACCATGAAATTAGGATTTTGCTGAGAAATATAAGGAATCAAAACAAATTTAAAATTTAATATTATTTTATTAATGGTTGTTTGTAATATTAGCTTAATCGTTTCATCTACCATGACCAAGTCCATCATGCTATTAGAGAATTCAAATTTCTGTGGAAAATAGAAACATAGATATGCTCAATTTTTTTTACAAAAATAGTTATGTAACAGTAAATGGTTCCGTAATATAGTGAAAATAGTAGTACTTTCCAAAAATCAGAAGTCCATCTGGATCCTTTTGGGAACCAGGAACCAAATTAAAAGGATTTTCATTTTGAATCTAATTTGGTTTTCTTAAGATATATTTTTCAATAAAATGGATCATTGTGAGATAAAAGTTATGAGGGTAAATCCGGTAAGAAAGAGTACACTAAATTGTGAATGTGAGGGTAAAATTGTCATAATTAATCAAATACTTGATTCTAACTTGTTTATCAACAGCATGGGCATAAATGATTCCCCAAATCGGTTGGACCTACATTTAAATTCTCAAAAGTGCCAGCAATCTTTTTAATCAATGGTGTACCTGTAGCTCAAGAAAACTCAAAAAAATCTCGTTTTTCTTATTTTACAAACAATAAATCACTAAAAAAAACAATAAGTTGAAGAAAATTCAAGTAATGGAAAGAACAAACCCATCAGCTCCTGTCATTCCAAATAATCAAAGCAGATATGCAATAGAAACCTAAACACCACTAATAAAAACATATAAACACACGAAATTAGGAGAATATTAACATGTTATTCTGGCCAATTTGTTAAAAACCTTGACATGAAGTAAAAGTAGCCATCTTAGTGTTTTGTTAGGTGAGTACTGGAAAACAGATTCAATGAACGGTCGATTGTAATGAAATTTTATTTGAATATCCTCCCAATCATGCCATCACAATTAGGTTGTAATGCTTCATAATTGATGTAGATATTAGAAATTGATAAAATAAACACAATAAACATAATCATAACCTAAACCCGAATTTCAAAAATCCATACTTGTGATGTGAATATAAAGTTTACCAGAGAGAGGACATTTGTCGATGGTGGTAAGGTGTTTGAGTGACCAGAAAGAGATAGAGAGCTGATGCTCAATGTTAGTGTGTGTTCCTGATTCAATAGTTTAGGGAGATAAGAAAACACACACACATAGATAAGTAGTTATGGTGTGGTTATGGTGGTGAGGATGAAGGAGGCAAATTGTAGACTTCATGAATAATACATATAAAAAATTAGAAGCATGATTATTAAGAGGAAAAAAAAAAAGACAAACCCGGTGAATTAGAAGGTACTTTGAACCTGGTTGGGATGATTCTACTGATTTCTCCACCAATCACACTTTAAACTCTAAAAAAATCACAAAGTGAAATCAGAAACAGATATCAACATAGATGGAAGAAGATTAACCTTTTAAGTGGATTGAGAGTAAAAGCGATGGAACTGCAATGAGAACAGGGTTTCTTTATATGTCATTTAACGACCACACATATAAAAAAGATGAATAGGGTTCTCATGTCGCTTCTCTAATGAGAAATGTCGAAACTTGTGCAAGAATCCAAAAATTGAGACAAAACTTAAAAAAATCAACTTAGGGCTAGTAAACATCAATTGATTAGGGCTCTTACCTTGTACAACTGTACATGGCATCGTTGTCGATATTTCAACCAGAACCACCTGGAGTGACGTATAGGACGATGGTGGAGTGGCATGGCGGCGCTAGAGTGGGTGTCGCTGACTTGGTTTTGGTGGTGGTCGTGGTAGCGGTGGTGGGTTGCGCTTAATGGTGTGGAGATGGACTCAGAGAGAGAGTTGAGGGGTAGGAGAAGAAACAGGTGGTCATATTGAAGGGTGTGCGATAACCCAATTCGTCGTGAATGCGAAAGTACAAAGGAGAGAAGCGTAGGTATAGCACTATACGGCAGAGGAAATGGCAACATAATGGGGGAGTTTGGGTTCAGTACGATTTTTGCCGAGATATTTGGATTTTAGAGGATTCAATACGACTCGATCTAGGGCTAGGTCAAAAACTTTAATCAAATAATGAAACTTATGCATTGAGTGCTTGTATTATATGCTTAATCATTTGAACGACTTAAATTATAATATTATTATATTGATGGTAAATTGTACATAAAGTTTAACAATTTGGACGTCTTAAAAAAATATTATTATTATATTCAATTTATTTTTAGAAATAGTAGGATTTCTTTTATAAGATAGTAAAGATATATATATATTCTTTTATACCCTTGAATTCCAAAAACACAAATTAAAAGTTTGGATTACCCAACTTTTATATATATATATATATATATATATATATATATATATATATATATATATATATATAGTACCCAATTGGGTCTAAAACCCAAACCCAGAAGTCGAGGGCCCTAACTTGGTCCATTTAATGCTGATAATTCCCAAAATAAGAAGTGTTTCAAAACCGAATGTTACAGACAATAAAAAGATTTCAACTAAAAACTTGACTTCAAGTTTTAACAACAAATAATAACTAACTATTAACCCTAAGTCCCTTATTAATTAAACATAATTGTTAATTTTAAGTTTTTCAAACAGCAAAAAATTTAAATTTGAAATAAGATAATAACAAGCAATAGGATTGAGTATTTAAGTTTCTTACTTGTTTCATTATTATTGGGGCATTTGTCGGTCGAAGAGGAGGCCACCGTAGACCGTAGTGTAGGTTGTCATCGGCAACAAGACTAAGGCTGCAACAACGAATCAACAACAGTGGCAGGGGAGGCATGAGGCTTCGATCTATTTTTCCTTCTCTCCTTTTTTGATTTTGACCAAAATAAATGTGGGCTTCTAGCTTCTTATTTCGTTAAACTAATTGGGTATTTAATTTGGGCTTAATATTTTTAGACTACCTAAACACTTTGGGCTACTTTGCGTTTAGATTTATAAGTTAGGGGTGGCCTAATTTTTATTCAAAGGTACCACGGTCATATAAAATTTCGTTAAACTAATTGGGTATTTAATTTGGGCTTAATATTTTTGGACTACCTAAACACTTTGGGCTACTTTGCATTTAGATTTATAAGTTAGGGGTGGCCTAATTTTTATTCAAAGGTACCACGGTCATATAAAATTTCGTTAAACTAATTGGGTATTTAATTTGGGCTTAATATTTTTGGACTACCTAAACACTTTGGGCTACTTTGCATTTAGATTTATAAGTTAGGGGTGGCCTAATTTTTATTCAAAGGTACCACGGTCATATAAAATTTCGTTAAACTAATTGGGTATTTAATTTGGGCTTAATATTTTTGGACTACCTAAACACTTTGGGCTACTTTGCATTTAGATTTATAAGTTAGGGGTGGCCTAATTTTTATTCAAAGGTACCATGGTCATAAAAAATTTTACGAAAAAATTTATATTATGTCTAAAATTTTGAGGGATATTACAGGCTACCTATAGGCCCCACAATGGTCCTCCCCCGCATGCACCGAACAACCACCATATTAAACAAGATGTTGACTTACTCCCCCAGACCCCAGACGTATATATGATGAAACTCTCTACCCTTGTGTATCATGCTTACCTAGATCTCACACCTTTCATGGACCCAGCCCTCATATAGTTGAAGATTACTCCTAAAGATAGCAAGAAACCCCGTACCCGACAAGAAACTCATTACATGAATCTGGTTTCATAGGGTTTCCTGAGTTGACTTATAATAAGGATGAAGAATTCTCAAATTCGAAGACGTAAATGGTGATATCATTTGTCCTCAAACCAAAACTTGATATATAAAAATAATATAACTTTTTCAATTTTTGAAAAAAATACCACCTTCTTTCAAATATCTCGTTACAAGTTGTTCTTTAAATCCTTGAGTTCTTTTTTCGGATTTCGGAATTCAGAATGTCAATCCGAAATGTATTTTTTCTTTAATCAAAAATGCCTAATTCCGAACATGGTGGTTACTTTGCAAAATAATAATAATAATAATAATAATAATAATAATAATAATAATAATAATAATAATAAATTAATTTTCTTTAAATATACATTACATTACTACAAAGTATTAGTTTAATGAAATCCCTTTTAAATATTATCATTTGGTTTGTATGTCTAATCTAATAAATTAAGATTTTTTTTATTAAATGTCACACTCTCATTCAATTTGTCAAATATCATTTTATGGTTATTTTGAATTAATTTTTTTTCCACATGTTATTTTATAAGTTTGTTTATTTTATTAAATTATATATAATATTTTAATGTAATAATTACAATAAATATAATAATAAATTGATATCAATTTTATTAATAGATTTGCTTCTTTTTTTAGAACGACAAATTTACACTACTCCTAATACCACATATGTTTCCAATAAGACTTGAACTATCAACCTCTAGAAGGAAAGCAACACTTTGCCTTCTAATTTCAAAATATGCAAATTAAAGGTCATTAATTTATTTTGTTTATTTATTTAAATTATTTGTTTAAATTTAAAAGATAGAAAATTTTCAATTTTAATAATTCATTATTTTTTTTACTTTCTTATAAATAAAAAGTTCTTAAATATTTAAACTTTCATATTTATTTTTTTTTTTAAATTAAGTTATATACTACATAGGTCTCACAGATAATTTATCATTATATTTTCTATGTCTTTAGGTGTCATTAATAATATTTGATTGATTAAAGTTTTGTCATTATAGTAAAATAAAAGATGTAAGTTTGTAACGATAATTTCCTCTTGGGATCCTGTTCGGGACAAGCATGGGAAAATGGATGACGATGAAGACAAAGATTAGGATTTGTATTGGGTATTAAGATCATTGATAAATATGAATGACCTTTTAGATAAATGTGTGAAAATTGTAATATATTATTCATGTACAAAGTGAAACATTCCTTTAATATGTTTACAATGCAATTCCTTTACTTAATTTATCAATAACCGTTGTATTACATAACAAGATAATTCATAAAATTATCTTTATTTTAATTTAAATACTTGATCGATAATTAAGCTAAAGAAGAAAGAAAAAGGATATAATACAAATAACTGAAAGCGAAAACGAAAACGGTTCCTCTAAATACTAATACAAATAGGAATATTGAAACCCGATTCCACTATCACCGATCTCATTGGCTGATGCGATTAGTGTTGAAGAAAGTTGATCAAATCTCGTTAGATACCCTCTCAAATCTCAATTTTACAAAAACCCAACCAAGAATTTTTGCATCTTGAACAATTTCGGAGGTGGGGATTTCAATTGATACTCGCTCCAAGTTTTGATATCATATATAGTAGTTTTGCACAGGAAGAATCCACTGAAATCTCGGATTTTCAACGGAAACAAACCATAGCCTGGTCAAAGATTTCAATCGATCTTAACAGGAAAACCCTAGATTTGTTACTTACAAAGACTACTCTGGGTTCCAGTTTGAATTTGCTGCTGGCGATTGTAACGTTGCAAAAGAGGTAAGTTCCAATATCCTTTTTTTCTGTCTCTAGCGTACACAATTGAATCTATGTGATCTTGCTTCGAACTTGATAGATTTCTGTACGGATTACACTAAGTAGTGCGTTAACGGCTAGGGCTTAAGATCGAGACTTTGATTTGGCAATCCGATAGATTGAATCCCAGATTGATTTTGATTTGCAGTTAGATTCTGTTTCTGGGAGACGAATTGTGATTATTGTGTGAATGAGGGGAAGGTGTGTGGGAACAAGGCGATGAAGAGCAAAACAGTGAGATTCCAACTACAATGACTGGAGTGTCATTGGATTTAAGAACACAGAGTTATGGATCACCACAGCAACCGCAAAACGGTTCATTGCAGATTCAAAATGGATTCATTGTTCGCAAATCTTCAAGGATGTCGCTCTCTGGTTCAAGGGAGAAGGACAAACTTCTCCTCGTTTTGTGCAGATATCTCAGTAGAAAAAAGGTTGTAATGCTAATTTTAGTTTCGTTTGCTCTCATGGCATTCCTTTCAGGGTTCTTCACCACCAATAGAGGTTCGTATGATCGTATCCAAATTCCAACCATATTTGTTTCAGTTTCGATCTTCCAATTCAGCAATCAAAGTTTCTGATAATCTCTTTTCTGTTTTCTCAGAAGATTCATCCGAGAGCACGATATTTGATCACTTCAATGATGCATACAACACCTCTTTACAATTCTCCAGAAAATTCGGTAGTCAAAAAGACGACAATTCATCAATTCAGACAACTCTATCTGTATGTGAAGAAAACCCTCCTATCCACCATTTCTCCCCTCCACTTTCTTCAGAATCCACCATTTTTCACAGCAATTTCTGTCAGAGTTTTGCATTTCCACCCCCTCCACCTGGTGACAGAAGACGCCCTGGACCTAGACGTAAGTTTTTTCATCTTTCTTCAATCATCAAAAAAAAATATTAACTTTTTTCGTAACGCCAGCCTGTCCTGTATGTTACCTTCCTGTGGAGGAAGCCATTGCTAGCATGCCACGTGTCCCTTCCCCATCACCAGTGTTAAATCACTTAACTTATTTCCATGAAGAAAGCTCTACAAAAACTGAACCACATGAAGGATCTGATTTTGGTGGGTATCCTTCTTTAAAACAAAGGAATGAATCTTTTGAAATCAAAGAGTCAATGACTGTACATTGTGGGTATGTAATATGTTTAATATATACATTATTATTATTATCTTTCTTATAATGATTATTTGATAATAATAATAAAATGAAAAATGTTTCAGATTTGTGAAAGGATGTAGACCGGGTTACAAAACAGGATTTGACATCGACATTTCCGATCTTGTGGAATTGGAGCAGTTTCATGACATCATCGTTGCATCAGCAATATTTGGAAACTATGATGTGATTCAACAGCCAACTAAAATCAGTGATCATGCGATTAAAAACATCCCGTTTTATATGTTTATTGATGAAGAAACCGAAAGTTACATGAGAAATTCAAGTCTTTTGGACTACAGAATGAAAGTTGGATTATGGAGAATTATCGTTGTGCATAACATTCCTTACACTGATTCTAGACGCAATGGAAAGGTAATAATAATAACTTTTATCAAATTTTATTTCAATTACATTTTGTATAATAATAATAATAAATACAATATATAAACAGGTTCCTAAGCTTTTACTACATAGACTGTTTCCAAATGTGAAATATTCTATTTGGATTGATGGAAAGCTGCAACTTGTTGTGGACCCGTATAAGCTTCTAGAAAGATTTTTATGGCGACACAATGCTACATTTGCAATCTCAAAACATTATAGGAGGTTTGATGTGTTTGAGGAAGCTGAAGCTAATAAGGCTGCTGGGAAGTATGACAATAAGTCGATTGATTATCAGATTGACTTTTATAGAAATGAAGGGTTGACTCCTTATTCAGAAGCTAAGCTTCCTATAATCAGTGGTAAAAGCTTTTTATCTTTTACATTTTTTTTTATTGTGTGTGTTAATGTTTGTTGTTTTTGTAGATGTTCCGGAAGGTTGTGTGATTATAAGGGAACACATTCCAATTACAAATCTGTTCACGTGTTTGTGGTTTAATGAAGTTGATCGATTTACTTCAAGGGATCAGTTGAGTTTTGCTGCTGTAAGGGATAAGATCATGGGACAAGTCGACTGGAGTGTTAACATGTTTATGGATTGTGAAAGACGAAACTTTGTCATACAGGTTACATTTTTTTTGGAAGGGTAAAATGGTCATTTTGTCGATTTGTTTTTAATTTGATTGATTGTTGACACAGGCGTATCATCGAGATCTGTTGGAGCACATGCCGCCGCCTAATTTAAGGCGGAATCGTGATTCCATTCCGGTGTCTGTGTCCGTGCGAGGGAATCCGATTGCTAGGAATCCGGTAAAGAAGAGTCCGGTGAAGCGTGGGAAAGGAGAGAGGAGAACGAGATCAAAGAGGCATTCGAAGAATCCTAGTAACAAGGACAACATGGTCTTTTGATAATTTTTTGTTTTTTTTTTTTTAACAAAAGAAATAGAATTTGTTGAAATGATTTTGGATGTGTGTAGCATATGATGGATGGATGGATGGATAGAATATCAATTTTGTTAGTACATTCAATTTTTGTTGTAAATACTTGGATACAGAAAATCTTTGAGACTTGTTTTTTTTTTATCTTTATTGATTCACTCCCTTTAACCAATCTTGATATGTTCACCTTGAATGAAAGCTAATAAAATGACAAAATCGACTTAATGAGAACATACAAAATAGTTGAAAATCACTAAATGAGCACATATAATAGAATAGTTGGTTGTTAAATTATGACATAAACCCTAAAAAGATATTGGGAATAAACATAATTCTCATTTATTACATCATTGTCTAAAAGAAAAAGAAAAAGAAAAATATGGTAAATGAGGCAATCAAACACTGTTGTTGGCTTCTGCTTCAGCTGCTGCAGCTAACATCTTTTCCCTGTTTTGTGTTTGTCTTTCTACAGCAACCATGTATAAGCCTACAACACTCAGAAATTAGCAATGTATTTTATTTAAGGGGGTGAAGGGTAAAATGGTAATTGTGGTAGCATCAGCATCATACCTACAGCACTTCCAATGGCTGTAAGCCAGAGAACCCTCATGGACCATTTATCACTAATCACTCCTCTAGTAGTTCCCATTTGTAACTCTGTCATATACATTACAATTTTACAATAGAAAGGAATTCAATTATATTCCTTTGTATTTGGAATATGTAAATAATGAGAAATCACATAATCCTTCACCATTTGTTCATTTTGCACCCTTTTTTTCATCAAAAAGATGCAACTCTAGTTTAGTTGTTATACAAGGTTGGGGTTTAGGAAAGGGTGTTTCAGTAATTCAGTCATTCACACAAATAACGAAGGATTGGAATTGAATTTTATAACTTAATGGAAAGAAATTTGAATTCCTTCATTGGTGAGATTTTATGAACACAGACGGAATTCAATTCCATACTCATTGGCATCCAAAGCCAGGGAATCGAAATATGGAATGGAACTGAATACCAAGAAAAAGATTGTGCTGGCGATCATTGGAAATCATAAACTATAAGCAAAATCATCGACGATTACATGGAAAACATTTAAATCAAATGTGTGCTACTGATACACCATCCTTAATCCTAAATTCAGCCCTAAAATTAGGAGATGCAAAGTGGTGGGATTTGGTATTTTTCATGATCAGCTAAGAAAGAACCCTAACGTCCATAATCTAAACAAATAAAGCAACGCCATATTCGAAAAGAGCGCATATCAAGATGAACAATAAGATAAAAACTGAAATCGCATAAATAAACTTACAAGATGGAGTTATCGACGACCCTGTATACACAGACAACGGAATTTGAGGTGTGAATTTGCAGGATTGAAATCGGGTTTTGAAAGAAGAAGATCAGAGTTTCAGATTTGAAGGAGAGAATGAAAAAGTTAATGGCAGGGTTTAGGACCGGGAATCGGGTTTGTAAAACCCAAGTCCCTTGCCCGGTTTTATTTCAAAGCATTAAAATTTATTTAACCCAAACCCAAAAATTACTTTGATGTTAATTCAAAAAAATAAATAAATAAATAAATAATAAACTTAGGATGTGTTTGGAATGGTTTTTTGAACATAAAACTCCTTTTTGTAAAAAAACTTTATGTACAAGATGGTGTTTAAAATGTGTTTGGTTTGTCTTTTATGATTTTTAAGTGATAAAATCTAAAAGTCACAAAAAGATAGGAATTCTTTTTTTTTTTTCAGCCAACTTTTTCTTCTTACTAAATAGATGGTTTTAAAAGATTTTTTTTAATTGTCAAACAACTTTTGGTAATCTTTAATTTTTTGGAAAAGTTAAAAATCAAAAAGATGATTAAAAAGAAATGTCAAACACCCTCTTAATCTAATACAATTTGAAGGGAAAAAAAACTAAAATAGCTAACTTTTGTTTTCTAATTATTTGCTAAAAGAGTAAATTACGTGAATGGTCCCTGTGGTTTAGTGTAAATTACACGTTTGGTCCCTAACTTATTTTTCTAACTCGGATTGTCCTCAACTTTTAATTATGTAACGCGTCTAGTCCCTAATCTCACATTCCGTCAATTATTTCCATTAGACACCCCACGTGCCTTGCACGTTGGGGGTATAAAAGTCATTTCACATTTCCAACGATCTTCAAATACTAATTTTTCATCAGGATCGAACCTAATTTAGAGTTTCTTTCAGTTCTCCATCGTTTGAAGCGGTTACACCTAATCTCCTTCAAATCAAGGATGGTTCAATGCGATTGTAGGCGTGCTGCTGTAATTCGGACTTCAACTACTAACAATAATCCAGGAAGACCATTTTACGCATGTCCAATTAAGGTATGTTGTAGTTGAGAATTTTGTAATCGTAACCCTAGATGGGGATATCACTGTATGCGATTATAGGTATTGTAACCGTGGCTTTTGAAATTGACAGGAACCACGTAAAGGATTTATTGCTTGGGTAGATGATGATGAAAAGGATCATGGTGACAGATCGACAATCTCTTGGCTTGTGAGGTTGAACAAGAAGCTGAAAAATGAAAATTTTTTCTTGAAAATATGTTTATTTATTATTTGGGTATTGTTCTTGGTGATACTTGTTTACAAGTTGTAAGGTGGGGATGAGTTGTTATTGTAATGGTAAAGTCCTATGTAATGGTTAGGTTGTAGCAATGTATGTGATGGTATCATTATTTGTAATGGTTAGGTTGTAGCAGTGAATGTGAAGGTTGATGGGTTTTGTACATAAGAACATTCCTAAGTGCGCATACAAACCCTAATGCTCGGATCTAGATTTCTCTAATTAAACATGCTTTGAATCCAAGACTCCGAATGGCTTATTAGGTATAAGAACAACACAAAAACCAGAGTTAGAAGCATACCTTGAAACACTTGTTTGATCTTCTTGTTCTTGGAGCTTTAGAGTCACAATTGTCACTCCTCTAATGGCTTACAAACACCAACTAGCAAAGAGGATGATTTTGAGAGAGAGGAGAGAGGAGGAATTCGGCCAGGGGTTCTCGACTTTAGATGATGTACCGATTTCCCTTTGTCATAGGGTCTATTTATACTTGTAGACTCCTTAAGGGTTACAACTCAAACCCTAGTTGGATAACTATTACCTAAAGCAATCCAAATCCTTCCCAAGATAATGCCTTGGACGATTTTGAGGCTTATCCTAGCCTAGAAATCGTCCAACCCCTATCCAATAAGGATTTACAGTCTAAATTTTAACTATCAAACAATTGGCAGTTTATACCCTCTTATTTAATTAATCTCTTTAAGTCACCAAATTAATACCAATTAATCCATGACTTATATTAATCAAATAACTATATTATTATTCCTTATATTATTCTCATAATATATTAATAATATTTATTCTCTCATAATAAATCATCCTACCAAGTTGCTATGGTGAAGGCAACCCAAAATGACCATGCACAATCGGGTCAAATACTTGCCTAATATAGTTGCAGCCTTAGACACTATTCCAACAAAGGTATCCTCTTCTGTAATGGTTAAGTTGTCTATGTATTGTAATGCAAATGGTTAAGATTTTTAAGATCAATGAAAATGGTGTTGTGTTGTATTGATTATGTTTTAAAGTGATGTATAAGCAGCATATTGACCATTAATTAGTACCAAACTATAACAGGGCAATGAGGGTGACATCATAAGAAGAATATAACAATCTAATTTAGTACCAAACTATTATGGAAAATATAAATGTAAAAATCAATATAAACCAAATTATTATCTAAGCAATGGTGTATCATCAGAAGAAAACATTCCATTAATTAGTACCAAACTATTACAGGGCAATGAGGGTGACAAACTAGTTCATCCAAAAGTGCCAAAATATTGGCTAAAACAAGTAGCAAAATACTGCCCCTATTACAAACTATTCATAAATAATGTACCAAAATATTAGCCATATTACAAGCAGCAACATAACACAATCCATTCATATTTAAAGTAACAAAAGACTAGCCCTATTACAAACCATCAAGTGGTTGCCTTCCCTTTCCCTTTTCCTTTGACGTGTGACTGTCCACCACCCCCACCAACAATTGGTCTTTGCCCTTTGCAGGTTCTTGCATGTGACCAACATTGTTACACTTCGTACATGTTACTAATCTATGGGCCCTCGATGCTGTGTTTCCTCTAACAAAGTCCTCCTTTTCCACAATTGATATTATTCTCTTCTTCTTTGGTCTTCCTATGAGAACACGATGTTTTGGAGGCAACAGAATTTTTGGTATAGCTAACTTCTCCCACATGGACCTTCCATTGATTGGACTAACCTTAAAAGAATACATCTTTTTCCATCTTGATAACTAGTAACATGGATGCACAAATGATTCTGGGATTCCCACATCTTTGTTATTCCCCCTATGTCCCAAATAGCAGCCACACCATGTTTGCACGGAATTCCTGTTAATTCCCACCTTTTGTACGTGCAACTTTGTTGACCTACATCCACAATACACTGATCTTGCCATAGTCCAGCAACTTGATATTTTCCAGTACCACAAAATGTTGCAACATACTGTTTTGCCTTACTCTTTATCTTATCCAATATTATTGTAGCTGTAGGACTCAAAGGACCTGCAACTTTCTGAATTTCCTTGTCAACTTTGACTATCTTCTTCATAATGTACTCTCTAATGAACTCAATGCAGTTAATGATTAGTGCATCACGACCTTCTTCTATCTTGTTGTTGAATGCTTCACACAGGTTATTAGTCAAAGCATCACAATGTGCTCTCCCTGAACATAAACAAATTCTATGTCAGTATTCAATATACCTTCTTTTAAAATTATTAAGTAGAGATCGAAAGTCATTATACCAGTAAAGTGGGAGCACGCCCAACTTTGAGGAGGTATTTGTTTCAGCCACTCATAAGCATCATTGTTAAGCTTCTTTAGGTTTTCCATTGCTTGATGAAAGTGTTCTACATTAGAGGTCGTGGCACATTCCCAAAGAAGATCCTTGAACTCCTTTCCCCTCCAGTTCTTTTTCATGTTGTTGTGTATGTGACGAAGACAATAGCGATGCTCTGCACATGGAAATAGTGTTGCAATCGCAGGCAACAAACCTTATCAATAGTAACATGTTTGTATGTTAGTATAACTGCATCAATAGTATAAAACTATAAAACCTATTTTGGATAGGTTCGAATACCTTTTGCCTGTCACTCATAAACGTGAAATTGGAATTTGTTCCCAAACCTAAGTCATCACCCAAATTACTTAAAAACCAAGTCCAAGAATTCAATGTTTCTGATTCAACCACGGCGTAGTCTAAAGGATATATCCCATTATTACCATCCAATGCCTTTGATAAGAAACATAAATTACCAGAAAACATTGGTCAGTTAACATTACTTTAAATAAAGAACATACAATACACAAAGAAATAAGAAGATCTTACCATAGCAGACAAAACTTGGCCTGGATATGGACCTTTCATGAAGGCTCCATCAAGTCCAAGAAAGTCCCTTCTTCCCGCTGCAAAACCTCGCTTCAAAGCTCCAATGCAAACATAGATACGCCTGAATGTTCTTGTCTCAACAGTTGGATTCGCTTCACTTTCAACATCAATTTTAACCGTAGTATCTGGGTTACGTGCTTGTACCTCTAAAACATAATCCCTTAAACCTATATTGGCTGGCATAATCTCCTTGAACATGCTTTAAAGCTTGCTGCTTTGCCCTAAAAGTTTTCATATGCGAAATGTCCATCTGGTACTCATGTTGGAGTTGCTCTCGTAAAGCCCTAATAGGAATCTTTGGGTTTGTCTCAATAACTTGTACTATATGCTCTGAAAGGAACTTATAGTCACATGCTTTGACTTTTCTTGTTTGTAGACATCGATGCTCCTTCGTGTATGTCTTAACCATCCAATCTATGTCACGCTTCCACTTACTACAATAGATAATAGATAACCCATGGGCATTTCTCTTCTTCATTAGTAGTAAGATTTGGTATAGTGCCCTTACACACAAACCTAACCCTATTCTTATCATTTTTCTCTAATTGCATTTCCCTTCTTGTCCTTATGGAATGTAGTTTCACTTGTGTCTTAAAGTCCTTAAATGAACTGAAAGTTTGAAAAATGTAGAAGGGCTCACTAACCAAAGTTGCATCATTTTCATAATCCCTCTATATGGCCCTAATAGTTTTCCTTCGCTTACCATCATTTTCCTCATCTGATGAAGACCCAGACAACAAAACCTCTGTGTTGATCACTTCCAAGTCACCTTGTTGTGTATCTTCAGGTACATTACTTTTAGAAGAACCTCCAACCCATTCTACATCCTTGTCAATGTTCATATGGAAATCTTTTATATCCACATCAACATCGTGTATGAGATTGTCCTCATCAATAAAAAAATCACTATCTTAACTCTCACTATCATCATCAAACTCATCACTTCCACTGCCATTGTTGTTTCCACTACCATCATAATCATCCTCATTCTCTATATTCATGTCAAAATCAATATGGTCGACCAAAGATGGTTCTTTGTCCAAATGACTATCATTCTCAACTTCTGTTAGGTCTGGAACACTCTCATGCTCAATTGGAGAGTCATTCCACTCCAAGAACAATTGTTTGGAGCAAGCTGGTGGCTCTTTAATTTCAACAATTTTAATTAGGTTGGGGGGGGCATAGAATAAGTATGTAGATTTGTTTTCCCATGCTCAATATATACATCTATTAGCTTATGGTTAGCAACATACGTACCCAGATGATGAACATCCTGATCTGAACCCAAAGCAAATAACCCAAAATCCAAATCGCCAAATGGTCTCAGGAAATGATAATAGAGTAGTGTCTGGTCTGAATCAATATGCCCAAGTTCCTCCATCATCTCGTCAATGTCGTGAATGGAAAAGGTGTCAATATCTAGTAAATCAACGTAATTTTGCTTGCCTTTGATGTACTTTCTTCCAGGGAACTTTGTAAACTGTCCACCATGGTGTAATCGGACAGAGAATATCGTCGGATGTTCGGCTATATATTCACGGAAAGATAAATTAGTCATATTTTTCTTTTTAAGTTACTAACTGATTAAGGGAGTAAACACTTACCATATCTACGAGCAAAGCACGTATCCTCCAAGGCGCCATCGCGTCTTCAAATGTAGGGTTCTTTCGATCAAGGGTTTTCAAAGGTTTTGTCTGTGAAGCTTGTATCTGATCACGTTGATCAACGATAAATCTTTTATTTCTTGGCGGTATAACATTGGATATGTGAAATGACTTTTATACCCCCAACGTGCAAGGCACGTGGGGTGTCTAATGGAAACAATTGACGGAATGTGAGATTAGGGACTAGACGCGTTACATAATTAAAAGTTGAGGACAATCCGAGTTAGAAAAATATGTTAGGGACCAAGCGTGTAATTTACACTAAACCAAAAGGACCATTCGCATAATTTACTCTTGCTAAAAATTACTTTTTCTTGGAATAGTAATTAGTCACATACTTCTAATGGACCCATAATAGTCGTCCATATATAAGATATTTATTTATTTTTCTCCATTTTTATAGTTTGCGAAATGACTTTCAAGTTTCAACCTAAGATTTCATATTTCCGCAACATGAAAATTTTACTTTTGCTTTAAGAATCATCCTTAAAATCCATAACACATCAAAAACCTCAAAAAATAATATTACCAATAAAAAAATCAAACAATTTTGTAGTACAAAAATAAATTTGCATTGCATTGCACTAAACGATTTACCAGTACAAAACATCATGTTCCATAGTGCCTCGAAGAAACTTCAATCATTCATCCAAAACTTGGGCAAATATTCCACATATACATATATCATCATAACTTTTTTTAGCATGGTTCTTTTCACTTGCTCTACACATAAGTAACCTACTATAGAAATAAGAACATCCACTTCCTAACAAAAAAAACCAACAAAACAAAACAAAACAAGCCTACATTTCTCATTGTCCAATCCTTTGCACCTCATTATCTTCCTCAAAAGTCTCAATCAAAAGTGGAGGCGCATAATGTGCTGTCCCTTGATGTTCCTCTGCATCTTGACAATACGATAAAATAATCGTATCTATCGACATTTCCACCACCCCAAAAAACAGTGTCGCCACCACATACCCTAATCCCCAACAAACCTACTCCACCAAATCAAATTTCATTATTTATATCATATTATATTATTATATATGATTTAAATTTTAAATAAATAAATTATGTGACATATGACATACCATTACAGGAAACAACGGGGATGTGATCTTGTTGTGAGACGATTTATACTTATGAGTGTCCAACATAAGAAACGCAAAAAGCGCACTAGCAAGACTCACACAAAGTTTTCCAAGAAATAAAATAACATCTCCAATCACATTCACTCTTCCAATCCTCAAAATGTTACTTATTATCAAATTTGTTGCTATTTCTGAAGCTTTGAAGAATCCTTTTCCCGTTATTGCAATCTATAACAATAAGGTAAATGTAAGAGGGATTTTTACACCAAAAAAAAAGAGTTTTTCAAAAAAAAAATTACCATAATGTATGCGTTTCGGTTGACTGATTTTATGGTTAATTCAATGCCCTTTAAGCAAAAACGAGAAGTGTGGAACATCATTCTTTTGATGAAGTTTTCAGGCATGATGTCAGCGATTTTGAGTCTCCTACGAATGGCTTCGAGTATGAACCGAGTCGACTCGATAAAAGACACGATTAAGGAACCGATTGCTATTGAGCCAAGGCTGTATCGCGTGAGTAGCTTCATCGATGAGAAAACCGGAAGAAACGGAATCGTTGTCTGAAAAAAGGGAATGGAATGGATGATTACATTCCATTGTTGGGAAGAATGGAATGGAATGAGAGTTAAATTTTGTATTTACTAACCGATGATTCTCCACGAGCCCAATAGTAAGAAGCCACGGAGCCAGCAATGACAGTGGAAGAAGAGGCGATGAGAAATTGAGTGGCCCAATAGCATCCAAACAAGTGGAAGAGAATCGAAGCTGCAATATGATTGGTGTAATGAATGCTATACCCACAACAATCATCGCAACTCACCCTTTTGGCTTTCAAATCGTATGCACAACAATTCGTGTTGCAATCATTGCGGACTATCTCGCCGGAGCTGAAAAGGTGGAGAGCCGCCGACACCCAGATCATGTAGAACACCGCCAGAATTAGGTACGGGATCACCGGAAAAATTATCAACGCGTGAACTTCTCCGATCACCTTTGCTGCCACCTGGATTATCGATAAAGTAGTTTATTTTAAGATTTAGAGTAAGTTACGTTTTTGGTCCTTGAGGTTGTACAAGAGTTTCAGTTTTGGTCCGTAGAGGCGCCAAAATTGCAAGAGGAAACTATCCGGGACGAAAACTGCAATTTTGGAACAAACTTAAGGACTAAAAATGTAATTTACTCTAAATGTTATGATTACTTGCCTTGAGTACTGATGTGGCCATGAGAATCCGGCGAACAATGGCGATTGATGATAAAACGGATACGATCATGACACATGTCATGAGAAAAGCGGCTGCTCGCATATGATGTTGCTCCTGAAAAAAAGAAAAATGGTGAATTTATATAAGTGAAATTACTTAAATACCCTTGTTGATGCAACAACTTACCCTTGAAGTGACATGATAGTATGGATCGTGTTCGCCGATGATAGGCGAAATGGCATCGTTCCCAATCCATCCAGCTAAAAAAATGCAAAACATAGGGAAAGGAAATTCATCGTCGGTGAAATTACCAAAATACCCTTGTTGTGTAAGAAGTTTGAAAATGCACATCCATGTAATCTAACCTTTCATGTAGTAGAACATTGTGACAGATATGATGAGGCCGTTAAAGAGAAAAACGGTCACCCAGGGCATTCCGGTCACAAAATGTCGGATCATTAAAAGCCACAAAAGCGATAAAAATAAAGGCAAAAGTCCTCCACAAACAATCAACACGGGCCATGATTTTCCAACATCCGCAACATATCTCTGCAATTAATTTTTCACCAATTATTAATCAATGCTTCATTTTTATGCAACAGTCATCCATCCGATATAAGATATCCGATGACTGGTGCAGTCAGATGCCTGTTGCAATGTGCAACAGGCATCTGGATGTCATGTGCATTATCAAAAAAACATAATGCACAAGACATCTAAATCAGATATATATATACCATATACATACCTTCAATACAGAAGATCGTGCATTAATGGAGTTATGAATAGATTTATCTATGATCATATCATCATTGATTGTAACTCCATTCATTCGTTTCCAATTAGTCAAAGAAACATTTGATGGTCGATCAATAAACTGGCAACTCCAATAAACTGCATTTACCGAATTACCCTTACATCTTCTAATTAAACAATTAACGAAATAAATCATTTTTATTTACATAAATTATGAAATATACCGTTTACGCTTGGAAAAATGACAGGGTAACAAGGGCCTTGAAGTTGAAGAGAAGTGTTTCTTAGTTCAGGGGTAAGATCGGCAAAATAATCATAATTCATATCGATCCAATCATCTAAAGAAAGACGAATATCTCCCTCTGGATAATCACAAACCCAATTTAAAGAATCTTCCGAGGGTATTGGACAATCTAATAAGCATATGGTTCGAGCATTTGACAGTTTTACCCCGCTGTTCTTCATGCCACTTTGGTAAACTTGATTAGGGTTAACCCAATATTTGAGTTCCAACTCACGGAGGTCAAAATCGGAATGTTTTCCTCCACATACATTTCCTTTATAATCCAAACCGAAATTTAACCTGGTTAACCACAAAACGCATAAAAATACAAATCAAAATTATATAATTTTTCAATGACACGAGTAAAAAAAATCAAATCTTGAACGTATGCTAGAATAGGTAAAGGTTATTTAAAGTGTGAAAAAACCGTTTGATAAAGAAAAAACAGAAACAAAGACACTAAAAATGCAAGAAATGTTGAAAACCCTCCTTTTTATAAAGGGAAATTGAAGGCATTTATTCAAGAAATGAAAAAAAGATTGAAGCTTTTTTAGTTTATAAGTTTTCTTTTTTGGTTTACCTTAATGGGTTTCCTTGGTTGAAACCGAAGCTGGAGTTAACAATCATGGAGATCCAGAAAGCTATGAAGAAAACAAGAAACACAATATCTCTGCATTTCCGATTGTGCTTTATGATTCCGTTTCCGGCGCCGACTTCACCATTTCCGTCGCTTGATGGGTACTTTCCGATCACCGGTCCTCTCATTTCTATGTCTGGTTTCGGATTGTAGAGAGGGAATGAGGGTTTGTGTGATGAGAGAGAGAGAAGGAAAGAGGGAAATCAGTAGAATGAAAAAGAAAAGAGTGTAAAAAGGAAGAAAAAGGACTGTGTATGTGTGTGTGAAGGGGTTCACAATGGAGATATGGGAATATCATTTGTTTAATAATTTCATGTTGCTTTTTTGTTTTATCCTAAATTAAATAAATCTTTTTCACTTTATATTTTTTCAAAAGTTTAATATTTTATTAGCCTTTTATGGCCATCAACTAAATATCAAATCATAATTAACTTTCTTATTAAATCTGGATTTGAAAGAACGGATAGATATTAATGTTATGACGATTTTGGTATTAAAATAATAAATGCTTATATTTTGATAATTTAGGGAAAACAGCTTTTAGATTTACGACAAAGATTTTCACAGAATTGATTATTGTCAACAGGATTTCAAAGAATTAATTATTGTTAAACAGGATCTATAATAAGCTACGGTTTTCCAGCTTGAGCCGGAGTTAATGTCGGCTCTTGTCAATATCATGCCCATAATTTTCTGTTATATCTTTTTCATTTTTAATTCTTTTGAAACTTTGCGTAACAGTCCCTGTGGTTTCACCATATTTTATAGTTGGGTCAATGGAGAAAATTTATTTCATTTAAGCCACTATATTATAAAATATCAATCAATGGTTTGCGATTGTTTTTTCCACACACCTTTTCCATTTTTCGTGATTTAACGTTGGACATTCTTTTTGTAAAAGTTGAAGTTTTTCTTTCCACAAGATATTGATAATCAACATATTTCATCATAGAAGATTTTAGATCTCGAGTTTTTCTAGCTTTGCGCATTTTAATTTAGGTCATGTTGAATTCATACGAATGTGACTATTAAAAACCACGTATAAAAACATTTTTAACATACAAGATTTTTATTAAAAAAACTGTTTGGGTTTGTTCTTTTTTTGTCTATTAAGTTTTGTATAAATTATTGTTGTTCCGATTAAATGAACTATTGAATACAACAAACAACCATGGATAGTTGTCCCGAGTAAATGTTTAACCCATCAAGCCATTAAGTCAAAATGAAACAGCCCCTTAGATAAGTTCTTTTTTTTTTTTTTTTGTGAATCAGAAACTATATTTTTCTATAAGCATCTTTGTGCATAGTTGCAAATACAAACAACTTCTTCCTCAACAACACACTGAGATGGAAAAAGGTTAACAACAACCAATGGTAAGTAATTTGTTCTTTAGGTCATTTATCTTTTAATTGCATTCAATATGTCACTAAATTATGACATTCAATATGGAAGAATTTGTTTATTTAGGTTTATCTAGTGCTGATATAGTGTCAATCATGTCATTATATATGACAAAATTTTTCTTTTGCCAATCTTCACCTTAGAGAAAAAAGATACCACAAAACATGAGATTCTAATTCTGGAAAGCACATCAGCAAATAAATCTGAATCCAACCATACATACAATTGGATATCAAATTTATTATACTGTTTGCAGTATCTGTAGCTGTGATAGAAACAAATAAGAGAACTAAACTGGTTCAAATCTAGGAGTATATATATAATATTATAATTATATATACATAAGTACCTCTACAAGAACTTCTCAATGCAAGCAGACAAAGTTGTTTTTGGAACTGCACCAATAACTGCATCTTTCTTCTCTCCTTCTTTAAAGATCATCACAGTTGGGATGCTTCTTATTCCATATTTGGTTGCAACTGAAGGACTCTCATCTGTGTTTACCTTGTAGCAACTGAGTTTTCCTGTGTATTCTTTTGCAAGTTCATCAATCACAGGGTGGATCATTCGACAAGGGCCACACCATGGAGCCCAGAATTCAACCAAAACAGGAAGTTTGGATTCAAGAACAAGTGATTGCCATGTGTTATCAGTCACAGGGAGTACTGCAATTGCAATGTCAACACAACAACATCATAATTTGCTTCGATTACTTATCAACAATGAATCTATGAATGAAATTATGTGAAAGAGTAAAGGCACTCGCTTATGTTAGATTCAACAAATCATAATCAGCTGATGAAACTGAATGTTGGAGAGGATCTATGATTTACTAGGCGTATAACCATTGTAGTTCCATTTTACATAACAAATGTATTAATCTACTTCATACTTGTTACTCAGATGTCAATTTGAATTTCACTTGAAACAAAAGCAATGTCAATTTTGGTTTTAGCTTTGAAAATGATATATTTGGAGGAAAATTGGAAGCGTGGTTGTTTATTATGAAGGGACGGAGTAAACAAAACAAGCAAAACAAGATAAATGTGGTTTTGAATCGAGATACACATGTTTTTCACATACAATCGTGTTCTACAAAAGGTGAGATGCATTCAACTACACGAGAATATCAAGGAAATGATGCTAGAGCACTGAGAGACTAACAGCAGGATTTGCATAACATAAATATATATAAATAGCTATTTTCAGAAATCGAAGTATGTTAAACGACTACGAGTATAAGAATACCTCCAGGAGGTTCAGAGAGTACAATGTAGAAAACAAGCGATTTAATCCACCAATCCATGAGAGATACAACACAAATGAACGAGTCTAACCTTGTACGGCTGTTTCCTGAGCTTCACAGACAATTCCTCCACCACGACGGCCGGATTTCGACCTCAATCTCAGGGATCCAGAAGAGCGAAAGGAACGGATGTTTAACTTCAAGCCTCTTGATTCCGGGACAAAGTTCCGACGGAGGGAGAGTTGACAGACCGGAGAAGAGGCGATCGGAGTTAGAGAAGCTGCCGGAAATCCGGAGGCACGAGGAACGGTGAGGGTTTCGAGAACGCCGGCCATTAATTCGCAACAAATCAAAGGGGAGGTGTAAGAAATTGAAGTGTGATGTGAAGGTGTCTGAATGGCTAGTGTTTGTTTGGTTTTGTGTCGTTGGAAAGATCAGATCAGGTGATTAGGTGTCACGTGCTTCCCACATGCCGATTCTTCTTACCATATATAATTTTTTTTTGTTTGATAATAACAATATATAAAGTATTATATATAACACATAACATATAATCGGCCGAATAATCAGAATCAAGTATACGATAGATGTTTTCTGAATATCAGGCAAATAAACTAGAGTCGGTCAAACTCGAAGAAAACCTGTCCAACTCGATTAATTATGAAAAACTCGATTAAATCTGTCATTCTCAAGAAATTTGGACATTTTTAAAATAAAAAACTATAATTATTATTAATATTGTATTTGTTGTGAATTTTAATGAACTTATTATATATATATATATATATATATATATATATATATATATATATTATATATATATATATATATATATATTACTCATAAAGGTTCAGTACATATCGATCGAAGGCAAACGGGCAATAAGTTGCGCTCGCTAGCCCTTTTTGGATGGCAAAACCAATTCTTTTGAAAATAATATTTGTGGATCTATGAGATATGACATTAGAATGTATGACTCGTTGGACTCTATTGAGGAGCTCCATCGCCTCTGGTGCGAGAAAACCAATAGTATCGAATGCCTCATGTCTAGAAACTCCCGAAACTTGGCGGTGATCTCCGCCACGGTCTCTGTCGTCTGCCTCATGTCTAGAAACTCCCTGGCCAGCTGCTGAAGCTCGACCGCCGGTGCAAACTCTGCCCTGAACCTAGCCACAAAGTCCGACCAGGTCATTGTCTCGATAGCCGAGGCTCCCAACGAGTCACCCACTGACTCCCACCAATCCCGGGCTCGGTCCCGTAAACACCCTGCTGCGTACCTCACCTTCGACCCCTCGGGGCAGAAGCTAGTCAACTGGGCGGACTCGATATCCGCAATCCACCGCCTGGCGACAATGGGGTCCTTCACCCCATGGAAATCCGGCGCACCACTGCCCCTGAAGTCCTTGAAGGACAGTGTGCGAAATCCTGACTGGCTAGAAGCTAAATCGCTCCTGAATGCCCGTAGGCGATCCTCCATCAACTCTATGATCCCTTCCTTGATCGACCCAAAGAGGATGGGGGTCGACTCAAGGATGCCCCTGGTAATCTCCGACGTGATGAACTCACGTAGCCTCTCGTCAATCGGCTCGGTGCCTGATCCCGAACCTGACCCCTCTCCTGACCCGCCATCTGTCGGTCTCGGTCGAAGTACCACCATTCTGCAATTCATCATAATAATCATTAGTGATACTGCTACTTTCTGAGGGATCTCAACTACTTACAGGTTCCTTGGTCTCGTCTTGGCCTTCCTCGGCTCGGGTACGGATCCTCTGCTTTCAGTAGTACGGGCCCATACTACCTTCCACATCTATCCGTACCTTCTCCGAGGAATTCCTCGACTCCACCAGATCCCCTTTACTACTGCTACTCTCTGTTATTCTCATCCTAGGCTTGCCCTAGGGAAAACTCAAGTTCAACACGACTGGTCCTCAGCTGCTGTGGGTCTCCTCATAGTGCCAGTTAGCCACCACCTAAACACCATCACATGTGATGAGGATTAGATAATCCTTCAAGTAAAAGATCCGTCCCTACAACGGTTGGACTCAAACGAGAGCTGCGCAATAGGGCCAGTTCCAATACTTTGGGATTATTCAACCCTGATCACATGTGGTGTGACGTGTTTACCTAGTGGCTAACTCCCATTACTCAGAACCCCACCAAGCACGAAGCAAGCAGCATTCGGATAAGGGGAAACAGACTCAAGCCAAAACTATTCTTATAACAAGAAACGGCACTTTAACATAGGATGCTAAGCTCATACTATCAGGCATAACCTAAACAGACTATCCTACTGCTGTCTACTCAATTCTAGCATGTAATATTCATAAAGTTGTAACACATAAGTAGGCACATAAGGCATCACTCCTAGATCCTTAGCCCTATTCTAGCATGCGGTTCTACGTAAGCTGATAAACATAACATAAACTTGTATGGGTACTATGGGGAATACTTACTTGAGCTCGGCCGGTCGCGCACGTCACACACTTCGCTCTTTCTTATGACTCTTTTCCGGGTTTTAAAGAACAATTTCTTTTGGAAAATCTTTCAATCCCTCGATTTGAGTTCAGACACTCCCGAAGGCGTGTCCGAATCCCTCAAACCAGGGCTCTGATACCAACTTGTAACGACCCAATTTTCATGTCCAAAAATTTCATTTTAAAATATTCCTTTATAGAACATTAATAAATAAAAACATTGTTTGATTACACCATAACACATCGCAATCCACGTTTTAAAAGTCAAACCATACATCCCATCAAATATCAGAGTACAATCCCAGTAAATCTCGTAAATGCGGAAACCGAAGAGTGTGTGTATGACGTGCCGCTACCGCGCCGGCTCCTTCCCCTTCGGTGCAGAGGTACCTGAAAACAAAACTGTAAACGTAAGCACAAAGCTTAGTGAGTTCCCCCAACGTACCACATACCATACAAACTCATAACATAAATACTGCCAGGCTATTCTGGGGTGCCTGACTACCCGGTACGGCCATTCTGGGGTGCCGACCTACCCATACGGCCATTCTGGGGTGCCGTCTTACCCGTGTCAAGCCATTCTGGGGTGCTGACTACCCATGTCAAGCCATTCTGGGGTGCTGACTACCCATCGGTCCTAACAACCGATCCTCGGGGGCTGGTCCCCTCCCACTACCTCTATCGCATAACATAACAGGCCAACATACAAGCATACCATCACATACAGTCAGATGATTCTGGGGTGTCTGACTACCCTGCGGTCCTAACAACCGAACTCTACTACTATCGCATATAACGTATCATGAGAGCATATAACATAACAGGTAATAGCAAACCTAGATGATATCACAAAGACAATCATCTATCATACGTCTCCTACTGGTGGGCCGGCATTGTGGCCTTAGACCCACCACTACTGGAAGGTAACTCACCTCAAAGTAGCTGCTGAACTGATCGGGAACTAACTGACTGCTGCTGCTCCGGGAGTCCTCCGGCTGCAATTCCCACAACATACTCAATCAAACACTGCTAACTGTCCTTTAGGTAAAATGACCATTTTACCCCTGGTCTAGCTCTAAGTCAATGTTAGAGTCAACTTTCAATTGACCCGACTCGCCGAGTTGGCTCTCCAACTCGTCGAGTCCCTATCAGACGATTGTCCGGAGTCCCTGCTTCTACTCGTCGAGTTAGGCTATGACTCGACGAGTTCATCTTCTAGACTGACGTTCAACCTCTTCATCCTACTCGCCGAGTTGTATGAACAACTCGTCGAGTTCATCTTCATCCGAAGAACACTTATGCTAAGACTCGCCGAGTTGTATGAACAACTCGCCGAGTCTGTTCTTGATCTATGAAGATTGCCTTGGACTCGCCGAGTCAGGGCATTGACTCGCCGAGTCCTAACATGGGTGAGTTCAGCTCCCAACTCACCGAGTCACCCCCTGTGACTCACGGCTCAACTCGATACATCATGAAGGGACCAATTCGGTGACTCGCGACCAGACTCGCCGAGTCACCTATACGACTCGCCGAGTCGTCGCCATGCATCCACCAAATACACCGATTTACTCGATTTCAGTCCATGCCATTCATAGATCTGGACTTCTAGGACACAAATCACACGTAAAGTTTCCAACTTTACGTGTGGATACTCACTAATATGGATTTTAGGGTTCAAAATGCCTCAAAAGGGTAGATCTAGGATGAACAAGCCACATGGGGCCATAAAGCTAACAGATCTGAGCTCCTGGAGCTCAATCTTGCCTAGATCTAAAGGCCAATCCACTTATTACGAAACATTAAGCACAAACAAGCTTGAGGAATTGCTCAAGAGTGTCTTAAATGAAATCTTAAGCATAGAAACAGGGGAAAAACGAGATATACCTCAATGATACAGCTGAAAAACACAATGATGCTTGGATGGCTCTCCTTTCTCTTGATCTCCTTCCCCTTCTTGCCTCAAAACCTTCAAGAATGCACACAAGAGCCTCAACTACACAAGAAACAAGCTTAGGACGAGGGTTGGGAGCTCTGGGGGTGAATGGGGGCTGGCAAGGGGCAGATATGAGGTTTAAATAGGGAGCAAACCCCTGAAACTTAGGGTTTCATCCAACAGCGGTGACTCGCCGAGTCCAGGATATGGACTCGCCGAGTCGCCAACTTAAACGTGTCCTGTGTCTCGTCCCTACTCGGCGAGTCGGACCTTGTGACTCGCCGAGTCCAAGGCTAAAATAGGGCAATACTCAAATAAAATTCACATACCGGAAACCAGGTGCTACAAATCTCCCCCACTTATTTTAGACTTCGTCCTCGAAGTCTGCTGCCCGGTCCTGAAACAGCTCGGGGTAATGCTCCATCATCTCGTCCATCGGTTCCCAAGTCCATTCCGAACCCTTGCGGTGCTGCCATTGCACCTTTACTAGTTCTACCCTCTTGTTTCTCAACATCTTTGTCTTTCTGTCAAGTATTGCGACTGGGCGCTCAATGTAATTCAAGCTGTCGTCAACCTGAATATCCTCCAATGGTACTACTGCTGAATCATCCACCAGGCACTTCCGCAGCTGCGAAACATGAAAGGTGCTGTGGATCTGACTGAGCTCGGCTGGCAGGTCCAGCCTATACGCCACCTTGCCCACCCGGGCTGCAACCCTGAACGGCCCGATGAACCTTGGGCCCAACTTGCCCCGCTTCCTGAATCGAATGACACCTTTCCAAGGCGACACTTTCAGGAGGACCATATCCCCGACTTGGAACTCCAAGTCGGATCGACGTAGCTTTTCTGCCGACTCTGTGCAGTCTGAAGTCTGCTCCGAACCTGCTGGATCCTCTCGGTCGTCTCTAGCACCACCTCGGTCTTCCCATGACTCTCTGGCCAACCTCCCCCAACATATCGGGGTTCTGCACTTCCGCCCATACAACATCTCGAACGGTGGTCGGTCAATGCTCGCGTGATAGCTGTTGTTGTAGGAGAACTCAGCCAAGGGAAGATAGGTATCCCAGCTACCACCGAAATCCAACACACACGCCCGCAACATGTCCTCCAAAGTCTGGATGGTCCGCTCACTCTGACCATCTGTCTGCGGGTGAAAGGCGGTGCTAAAATGCAGACGAGTGCCCAACTCGTCATGGAATTTCTTCCAAAATCTGGAAGTAAAACGCACATCCCTGTCCGAGATCACCGATACTGGCACCCATGCCGTGCCACAATCTCCCTGATATAGATGTC